TTTCTAATAGCCTTTGCCGTCGAGAATGATCTGATTATACACCATTTGGATGTGACCACAGCTTTTCTAAATGGAGATCTTGAAGAGGAAGTTCATATGGAACAACCTGATGGTTTCGTTGTACAGGGTGAAGAGAATAAAGTATGCAAACTAAATAAGGCCCTGTATGGCTTGAAACGAGCATCAAGAGCATGGAACAAGAAACTTGACAAGGTTTTCATAAAAACAGGATACACAAGATCAATTTCAGAGCCGTGTATGTATTATAGAATACAGGGTGAGATGATGGTTATCGTCGCGGTATTCGTAGATGATTGCATAATTTTCTGGAATGATGAACAAGAAATGAAACGTTTGAAGGCGAGTATGATGGAAAACTTCAAATGCAAAGATTTGGGAGAAGCAAAGTATTGTTTGGGAGTTAAAATCGATCATGATAGAGGAAAACAAGAAATAAGGATTGATCAAAAACAATATATCGAAGAAATTCTTGAAAAGTTCGGCATGGTTGATTGTAAACCAATTAAAACTCCATTAGACAAAAGCTTCAAGATGAGAAAACCAACACACGTTGATGTAGAGAAGACAGAAGGTATACCATACCAGTGTTTGGTAGGTTCCCTTATGTTTCTTGCTGTTACTACTAGACCTGATATTGCTCATGTAACGAGCGTTTTGAGTCAATTCAACACGTGTTATACTGAAGAGCACTGGAGGGCAGCAAAAAGAGTTTTGCGATACTTGAAGGGTACGATCGAAAAATCCTTGGTATATACAAAAACCGGCAAAGAGATAGAAGGATATGTTGATGCCGACTGGGCTAATGACGAAGATGACAGGAAATCATATACTGGGTATGTCTTCAAATATGGCGGAGGTTCCATTTCTTGGGAATCAAGAAAACAAAGAACTGTTGCAGTTTCAAGTACTGAAGCCGAGTATATGGGTTTGCCAGAAGCAGCCAAGGAAGCGACATATTGGAGAAATTTGTTCGACGAAATAACTAGTCAGAAATTGACTATCACAATATTCAATGACAACCAAGGTGCGCAGAAGTTGGCACTCAATCCAGTATATCATAGAAGAACAAAACATATCGACATCAAACACCATTTCAATAGAGAAGCAGTATACAAGAAAATTGTCTGCTTGAAATACTTGTGTACGGAAGATATGCCAGCAGATATATTAACCAAAGGGCTTGATGCTTCCAAACACTTGTTTTGTGTTAATGGTTTGGGAATCAAGTCTCAAGATTGAGGGAGGGTGTTGAAGATCAATCATTGATTACTTGATGTTTTTTATCACCTACTATATCTTCAATTGTCATATTGTAAATAATTCAGTTGTTCAATAAAAAAAAACTTGTCAGTATATTTGGAACTCTTCTCTTTTTACGTGATTTCACTGCATTTACAACTGTCTGCTGTCTGTGAAATGGTCATATTGTTATCTAGATGAACCTAAGTGAAGTTCGATCTTAATTATATGAAGCGCCTCGTCCTAGATGATCACACCCTCCCTATCCCAAAAACACAATCCTAAATTTCGATTGACCCCTTTAGTTGCGAATAGACTTTGAAGAAATGAGGTTGGAAACTAATGGCAGCAGGGACATAGGCATGAGGAAATTGCATTTATAGCTTTCAATTTGTGGCGACACCTAGCGGAAAGTAGGGGTACTACATTATTGTGATCATCTCGGACGGGGCGCTTCATATAGTTAAGATCGAACTTAGATAAGTTCGTTTGATCTTATAATTCTAAGGCATTCGATGCAAGAAAGGAGTAACGTGCATTGAAATGACAACTCAAGAAATCAATAATCATATTTATTGCATCATAAAATATCGGTCACAAATTCATTGCACACACCATGGGAATTCACAATCCACTGAACCAAAAATATTACATGAATTTATTTAGAGAATTTTCCTTCTTAATTTTATCAGACATGAATGAACCTCATTTCAATGCACAACATGAATAAAAATTGTATCCAATAAAACCTTAACTTCAAATAGTGAAACGGCTTTCCATACACTTATTATTAGAATTCAAGTTCCTACACGACTTTATTGTCTGAAGAAAACAGAATTCTTATTGACAAAGTCATACATATATAATGAATGAAATATACCTAATATCACAGTGTCTATAGCAAGAAAGTGATGCTACAATTATACTCATATTAATAAAAAAATAATAATTAGAGAAATAGAAGAAGACAGTATCAATACGGATTGAAAGTGTATGTACTAAATTTATAACATTCACCTAAATGAATATGAGTATTCCGTCAGGAGCTATCATGTCATATAAAAAAAATTCAATTATTCCAATCTTTAGCTAGATATTCTTGAACAAAATAACATGCTTCTTTGATGATATGTTGTTTCACAGATCTCCTAAAATTAATTGGAGAAACAATACTCCTGAAATCTTTTTGGAGAGTAGTACTTACAACCGCATCATATGACGATTTATTGTTGTGAACTAAACATACTGTTTCGAGAATTAAGAGGCACGGAAGTGTTAGTATTTTGTGCTCTGAGAACAGAGGTTTGCATGATACTCTAGGTGCCACTTTGTAGAGGTATCGAATAGCCCTCCTCCGGAGGATGAAGATCGATTTGAAATTCTGTTCACTGCAAATGCCCCAGAAAGGTATTCCATATCTTATGTGTGACTCAAACACAGCATGGTATGCTAATTTGGACGTGTCCTGGTCAAGTTCTCTGGACACTATCCGCGACACATAACACTCAGACGCTAATTTTCTACTCAAAAGTTTCACGTGATTTCCAAAGTTGAGTTTGTCATCCAGATGAATACCAAGAAATTGAACTTTGTTCTTCTGTTCAATGAAAACTTTATTTCCTAACTGGATGTCTGGTAGATCACATTTGATCGACAGGAGGCTAGTTTTACCTATATTGGAAAGAGAGCAAATTTGAATCACACCACCTTTTCACAGTGGAAATATCGTTGACAATTTTCGTTTGAATATCCTTTAGTGTAGTATCACTCCACAGGACTGTTGTGTCATCTGCAAAAATAGTGAATTTGCCATCCATCCTGAGACGAGCCGAATCATTAAAATACGATGAGAACCTGATAGGCCCCAAAACTGAGCCCTATGGCACACCATGACGAACTGAACCAGTCTCAGACGTCGTATCTATTCTCACGATTTGTGTTCGCTCGCTAATGTAATATTTAATCCAGCTAAGGCTCTGGTTTCTGATCCCATATTTCTGCAATTTGCCCAGCAAAATATCGTGATTCACATAATCAAAAGCTTTCGAAAGGTCACAGAAAACTACACACATTTCCTTCAGATTCTAATTTCTGTAAAGCTCTCGCAGAAACAAGAAAACAGCATCGCCTGTTCTTTTTTTTGGTTGAAAGCCAAATTGCAGAGGATTGAGAATTTACGATCAGATAAATGATGATTGTTATACTAGATCAGTAATACTTGGAGAACATAAAAAATACTACTTCCATCCTAATTCTTCAGTTTTTTAGGTCATGAGATTTATTCATAAAATATTACTACTACTACTAACTGAGATTATGCCGGTACCTTTCCCAACAAGTTTCTGTAGTATTTTTCCCATAGATTCATAATATATCCTCAGATTTTTGATAAGGTGATTCATTCCTAAAATTTCTCGCAACATAGGATATGAATAATAATCCGGTCCTGATATTGGTTTCGTTCAGAAGACTACTAGTTGAAGCCTTGTAGTTTGATTATTGTATCAAATTTGAGCCCAATCGGATAATCCCTGTATTTGATATAGCAGATTAATTTTTTTGCCAAAATCTATCAGTCACTCTGTATGTCAGTAACGAAGTGGATATCTACATTTGTATATGGCATTTTGTCATCATATTGGCTGTCCGTATAACCCCACAAGTTGTGTCGGTCTCATCTCTAGACACCCAGTATAATTATATGAATATACAAAAAATGTGCTCTTTCACTTCTATAGTTATTTTCCTAACAAGTGCGCAAAGTTTTACTTTTCTGCACGCAAATACAGTTAGGCGAACGACGCGAAGCGGAGTTCGAATAAGTTTTTGCGTGCGGCACGTGTTAGGAACAATGTTCTTCCTACGAGCTTCATATCAGATAAAAAAGGAAATAAAAAAAATTATGATGAAGTGACGATGTTTCTAGATTTTTGCTGACGAAAACTGAGTAAAAATCTGACATCATGTCAAAGTTGACAAGTGCACTTGATGTTGCTTGACAATATTATATATAATCATATATACAAGGTATTTTCCTTTGAAACCGTGAAATAGTTTCTTTGTTTTGAGGTGAAATACAAACATCGGGAAGCACGGTTGAGAAGTAAAAGGAATAACGGTTTCTTATATAGTGCATACAATATTAAACAGTAACTAAAATGAATATAAATGTTCCATAGAGTGAGATTTTTGGGTAGTTTTACTTATCCGCACGCCGTGCGGAAAACTCCCATATCCACACTGAGTGCGGAAAAGTAGTACTTTGCGCACGCGAATGAGTGTGGAAAAGTACTACTTTGCACATGCTCGTAGGAAAAGTATTTTTCTTACGCCTGATGCTGAAATATTGTAGGTATTAGAAGTATGGAGGCTCATTCCTTCGAAAATGCATTTTCCAATCTGTTTTTATTTACGATTCCAAGAAAACCATGAGATCTATATAGACATCGCACTTCATTTCCAGAGATCTTTTCGTTGGTTGAATAGTTATCTCTCTTATTCTTTACGAAAATTTGTGATTTTTTTAAGAACTCTATCTCAGGAACTATAGAAAGTAATCAGCTCTGAGTTTGTTGTGAATTTAATTTAATTCAAAAACTGTAATTATATCTAAATATCATCGAAAAACGCAAAGTTTATTAGCTGGAACGAAGTTTTGAAAAAAACTCCAAATATTTTACAGTTTTGAGCTTATCACAAATAAGTGAGCACAAATTCCGCTATTTTTTTATGTATACAATTTGACCAATAATGCATCAACATGCTTTAATTTATTATTAACACTTTACTCCTGTTTTGTGTCAATCATTATCTTCATAAATCATGTTCGAAATCTTCGTCATTCAATATTTTATAATTTATATTGTGATTTCCAAAACCTTCTTTTTCGAGATAGTCGAATATGTTCGGGATTACTGGTTTCATAGGAGTTATGTGGGCCAAGGTAGCAAGTTCTTCATAAAACTGCCTAAATCCGTTCTCATCGATTTTCGTGTTTGGTTGTTGTCCAGATTGTTTACATTCTTTCATAAAATTTTCAACATCTTCTCTCATTTCTTCTTTAGTCACTCCAAGATTCCCTCTTAAAAACGCCAAGTAGAATCGTGCCTAGAAAATTATAATGTCATCAGAAAATACCTTAGTATCAGTAAAACAATAGTTATTTATGTACCAAGTACGTTATATTATATCGGGCAGTTTTCATCCCTCGGGCTAAAGATCATTAGGGTCTAGTAACGCTCGTGGTGCATACAAGATTTTATTTTTCATGAAAACATTATCTTATCATAAGAAAATAAAGATTTAAAAAGCGTCGAGAAGGAATATTCTCAGATAAATTATGAACATACAAAAATGGAGGTATATTTATATAAAGTAATACATTGAGAATTCGCATTCTCTATGTGATGAGAATATTTACTCTTTTTCAGTTGATTCAATAGAAAACAACTACTTTCCTGGCTATATGCCACGACGAACATTGAATTATATCTATTGAAAACACGATAAGAGTTTGAAAATAAAATATGTTGAAAAAAAAAAAACTTCTGAAATTGAGACTTTGCATTCTCCTTCAGACAAAATATGTACGTCGAACATTGAATTATATCTCAATGTATTACTTTATATAAATATATATCCATTTTTGTATGTTCATAATTTATCTGAGAATATTTTTTTTTTTTTTACTTTCATACCCAATCAGGGGGTTCAAAGTTGAACGATGGAAACGTGATTTTTTATAGACCTCTAATCGCAGATTCGTGATAGAGTCTCAATTCAGAATTTCTTTCCACGCCCTGTATGATGAATGTCAATTTATCATACACCCAAAAGCAAAAAAATTGAAAAGCGGTTCATTGCCCCTTGTATTTTTTTTTCATTTTTCTTCTCGCGGAAGTTGAAAAATGAAATAACTGCCTATATATGGCCGTTATTTCAGATACCGTGTTTTTGGCGTACTTTGGAGAATTGGTATGTGATTATAATAATTTCCTGTAATTATTTCTAGAATACTATATCATATTAGTATGAGAATTCTCTGTTTGTGTGCGCTATTAGCTGTGTGGTGTTGAGTTCTTGATCTGTTCTCTTGAAGGAGATAATGAAATACAAAACTCTTCTAGAACAGTACATAATTGTTTCTACATATATAAAGGATTTTCTTCCACTTCCTATGATACTCGAAGTGGAAGGAAGTGACGTTTAAAAAGTATGAAAGTTGATTCATCTTCAATGCTGGAAGGAAAAAGATAGTGAACCAGAGTGCAGTGGAGTGAGTGAGAGTACCGTTTTCCTCGGTGCATGATGCTGATATACGCGGTATCTAGTATCTCAAAATTTGTCGTCAGCCTTACTTTCTTTGTATTTTCTGGATTCATCATACCTAAATAATAAAATGTTTTGAATTCATGTATTTTTGTCTTATTACCAAGGTTTTATCATTTTTCAGAGAACAATGGAGGTATTTTTTCATACTAGCTAATGACAAGTGAATAAGTCACTATTGACAAGTAAATAAGTCACTGATGACTAGTATGTAAGTCACTAATGACATGTAATTAGGCCACTAATGACTAGTGAACAAGTCACTAATGAAAAGTGAATGAGTTACTAATGACAATTGAATAGGTCACTGATGACAAGTGATGTGATCACTAACAGTAATCAATCTGAAATTCAATGAAACAGGTCAATAGTGGTAGGTGTACATTTTCAGGAACAAAAATATTCTTGTGGTTATTAACTTGTTTTCTTGTCCCATATAGTATACAAGTTTTTACTTGCCACTATTGAATATTCACTTAGGGTTAGTGATTTTTTTTCTCCGTGAATAAATGACAGACTGTTCAGTTCGTAATAGTTCTTGATATTAATTGTGGGATGAATGGAATATACGGAAAGTAACATCCTCAGGAAATTTGCCGCAAAACTTTCCAAACTATTCGAAAAAAAAAACAGGTAATTTATGGTGTTGTCAAAAACAATCCTTTTGGCAATACCCTTCATATTGTATTATGAAATTTCGATGAAAATAATAGTATGCGCTTTCAGGGCACGGGGACCTTCATTTATTGAGAACCCGTTTCTTTATCAGAAATTTGAATTCTTGACTATGGGTATCGACAACAATTCAAGAAACATCAGCATCAAAAATATCTTCAACTGCAAGTAAAAGTCAAGCACAAATTAGGTAATTCTCATACTTCAACTTTTATTTCGTTTTTGTATTGTTGAAATGCCAATTAGGCTGAAGATGGTCTCTAATAAGACCGAAACATGTCCCCAATGATTATGTTCCAACATCATTAAAATTTGTGGAGATGACTTGGAGCATTTCTTTCTTCCTTTAAATTATTTCACTCCACTTCGAGCAATATGTACTGCTACCAAAGATTAGCCTATATCTCTGTAATCACTTTTCATAGACCCCAAGTATGATGTATCGATAAAATCAGCTCTTCAGGAAAAATCTAAAAATACGATAAAATACCCCTAATAGCACACAACGTCCTAGGGACGTCCCTATTTGGAACAATTCACGTCCAAATGTCCCGAACCAAAAATAAGTGTCCGTGGGACGTCCCATCCCGTACATCTCATGCAATGTCAGAGCAAGGACGTCCACGGAATGTCCCAGCTGGTACATTATTTCAAATGTCCTAGAAATAGCATCCCTCAGACGTCCCACGTGGTACATATTGTAGAATGTCGATGCAAGGACGTCCTTGGCATGTCCCTGATGGGATATGATTTTAAACGTTCCTTTAGGGACATCCATCGGATGTCCTGAGTAGTACATATTCTGGCATGACTTCAGATCTTATATTATGTCGGTTCTAGACAACCATGAAATGTCCCTGATGGTACATTCCTTTAAATATCTCTGCACAGACGCCCTTAATATTTCTAGGATCGTATGAAAATTGAAATGTCCCTTAGGGACATCCTTCGAATGTCCCTTAGGGATATCCGTCGTATGTCCCAATTGATACATGAACTGTAGTCTTCCAATGTCCCAGTTGGTACTTTCAATATGTTGTCCCTGCGAGGACGTTAACTTACACCTCGCTGACGAATGATTTCTCGTTGGCTATAAGTACTCCTCCTCAATGTCCTTCACGTAAGGCCATTGGACATCCTTGGGGAACTTTTTGGGGACCTTCTACGGACCATCAACTCAACTGGATGTTCTAATCAGTCATGCAAGATCTGGTCCTAGAGGAACCCAGGAAAATTCAAATTCAAGAATAATTCGTACGTCCCTGAGGCATCCAATGGACATCCAATTGATATCTCTCAGCGTTGCTGATAGGTTGTCCTATGGATTTCCTGAGGATGTCCTCTGTAGTGCTTGATGAGGAATACTGTACGATTTCGGTATTCGATAGTTGTCCCAGGGACATCCCCCAAGGACGTCCTTAGTTGGTCCTCAAGTGGGACATTCGTGCGTCCCAGAGACGTCCAATGGACGTCCACGGTACCAATTTCGAACGTCCTATGGACGTCCTGAATGTCCCGACAGGACGTCCTAAGGATATCCATCGGACATAAGTGTATTATTAGGGACAACCCAATCAGCCAAAGTACGTCTTAAAGGCGTCTTGAAGACGTACATGTCGGGACATAAGTACGTCTTAAAGACGTACATATTACGCCCAAGAGACGTCTTGAAGATGTCTTTAAAACGTACATTTTCCACTAATATGTACGTCTTTAAGACGTCTTTTTCAGGTGTTTTTGGTCCATGACCTCAAATTGATCTTTCAAATTACGGAAAAATCACATAGTTTCAGTTAATTTTCACCTGTGCACTGAAGTTAGCAACAAGTGCAGACAAGCAAAAAAAAAAGGGATATAAACGACTTCATCAAACGGTAGACACAAGCGGTCACCCATTCAAGTACTAACCGCGCTCTTTGTTGCTTGACTTCGATGATTATACCATATTCACTTCTTCTGTTACTCTGTTTGTTCTATATATCACATAACAAGATTTTACTTAGTTTAACATGTCCTTGTGTCTGTTTGTAATCAAAACGTGCAAGTTAAATTTGACTCACTTTAAATCGTCCGATTGATTTGAAATTTGGCAAGTAAATTTTATTCCGGTGACAATTCGTTGTGATATTATTATCGAATGGAAAAAACAGAATGGCGGATCCAATATGGCGGACGATGTGGCATATGGTTTTCTGATTATGGTCTGATCTGATTCAAAATTGGCATCTGAAGGATTTCGGGATCAGAGATTATAATTCCTTTCGTCGAAAATGAAAAATCCAAGATGTCGGCTTCAAAATGGCGGACGGGTTTTGTGATTATAGTCCGATATTATTCAAAATTGATTACTATAGGACTTTTGGGGTCGGAGAATATGATTTTTTTGTAAAAATTCGAGAATCTAACACGAAGACTCCAAAATGTCGGACGAAAAAATTCAAAAACATCACTTTTGTTGAAAATAAGAAAAAACTGAACAATTGAAAATAAAAAACGTGAAGAGATAACATTTTGTTTTTCTTCAGAAAATAACTTACATTATTGTTCTATAAGTCGAATTGACGTACTGGAATGTACGTCTTTAAGACGTCTTTTATACGACATGGGAGGAACGACGTGGATACGACCTAAAATGTACGTCCTAAAGACGTAAATTCGTGTACGTCTTTAAGATGTACATGGATTTACATCTTAAAGACGTACTTTATACGTCCCTGGACGTAAAGACGTGAGTAAGTCGTAAAATGTACGTCTTTAAGATGTCTGGTGCTGATTGGGAAGGTGTTCTATTTGAAATATCAATGTTGCTACTACTTTCTAGTAGAAGCGGCAACACTGCATTATCGAAAATATTTGTAATGAAGACAGCGTATTCTAAAATACAAGCTTGCACATCTTCTTGGATTTATCCTGACTGATTCTCGATTTAAAGATAGTGTAAGCTCGTCGTGACATACCCTGTATATATACAGGGTGTCTGTAAAAGGTTGGTACATGGCTCGGCTGTGGACTCCTGGGATAAAAAAGAGTTGATTTAGCCAACTTACCTATAACCGGAATCGTCTCGTTGAGTTGGTACAGGGCGTGGATGTTTTTTTTGTAAAAAAATAATTTTGCTCATAAAAAGAGTAGGTTGAGATCGATTTTCAGAATTTTTGGCATGACATGTTCTGTGGCTGTAAGTCACGTTTGAGATGGTTTTGATCATCATCAGTAACCTGCAAGTGTTTCAAACAACCATGTTGCCTTACCGCAATTAGGTGATAACTTTTCAGTGGTCAGACTGGAATGTTTCAGTATTGTTTTGTGTTAATTTTTGATAAGTCTCGAAGTTATTTGCAAATAAATAATATCTGATCTGAGGCATCTTATGCATTTAAAAAAATAATAATCTGGTTGGGACAGGGCTTGATTGTAGACTCCTGAGATAAAAATTAGGTGCTTTTAGCCAACTTACCTACATACAAAATCGTTTCGTTGAGTTGGTTCAAAGCGTTAAAGTTCTCACCTTAGGTCCTGAATAGTTATCACTAAATTTGTACCGCGAGAGTTCTTGTAAAGCCTGCGAGGACCAGCAACATATCAGTTTGTTCACAATAAGAATACAGTGTAGCCATGATCAATAAACGGTCCGACTTATTTGATTAATTTTCGAAAATGCGTAGAATGCATCAGATCAGAAATCATTTATTTGCAAATGAACCTCGAGACTTATCAAAAATTAACACGATGCAAAAAATATTCCTGAAGGAAATATCTTTCTGAAAAAAAAACTGGAAGGTCCCTGTCTGACCTCTGAAAAGTTATCACCAAATGTGTAAAGCGACATGGTTGTTTGAAACCCTTGCAGGATCGAAAACATCTCGAAACGTGACTTACAGTCACAGAACATGTCATGCCAAACATTATCAAAATCGATCTCAGCCTACTCTTTTAATGAGCAAAATAATTTTTTCCCAAAAAAAAACTTCAACGCCTCAATGAGACGATGTAAATTGGCCTAAATCAACTTGTTTTTATCCCAGGAGTCCACAGCAGAGCCATGTCCCAACCTTTTACAGAACTAGTTTCTGAAAAATTGTATCTACCTATTGAAAACTCGTGGAGGTGACTAAGAATTTTTCTTCCTGCTGAACAATTCTACTCCACTTTGGGCATCGACTATTTCCGTAGCTCACATTAATTTGAGGGCATGAACGTTTGCGAAAAAATATAAAAAATTGGGAATCCGTTCAAAATGAGTTTAAGTTTCGATTATTGAATCAATATTTTTTCATTGTAAAGGCCCATTCTTGATATCCCATAGTATAGCTATACGACTTTTTTCTCTATTTTCATCAAATATTGCACTGTTTTTTTACCTGTAAACAGAAGGAGGGAAAGAGTGGAATATTCTTTGGCATTCCAATGAACGCCATAGTTGGATGTTCAATATTTATAGTATGTTTGTAGAGATATTTGACGTAATGATCTTCAACTTCGAGACCACATTGTGGAGTCAAAAATGGAAACGAAAATCTGTACCCTGAAACAAAATATCGAATAATTCAAATAAAACTGTCAGCAACTCATTATGTATATACATCTACCTGTGCATAAAATAATGTCATCTATTTCTTCTACAGATCCATCAATGAATTTCACACTTTTCTCAAAAATTTCATCGACTTCTGGCTTAACAATAACGCCCTCTGCTATCTTCAGTCCGTACTCAATTTTTGCTGTTCTTTGACATTGAATCACCTGAAATATATGTATATTGTAACGGCTCTATATTATACAGGGTGTTATTTAGGTACGTGGAAAAACTTGAAGGGGTGATTCTTTGAGTTATTCTAAGACGAAAAGTTCATATAAACATAGGTCCGGTAATGCTTCGTTTTCAAGATACAGGGTGTCAAAATTTTTAAAACAAATCGTTTTTTTCGTAAATATCTTAATAATCCTTCAACCGATTTCATTGAAATTTGGCAGTGTTATTCAAGGTCGTAAAGGGCTAATTTAACCCTAACTATATCAAAATTATCATGTCCAGTGGCGTCCCGGAAGGCACTGAAACCAATATTTTTGACAGAAAAAATGTGCGCCACTGATTTTTTTGCAACTTTTGTATTTGTTTCACATTGAGCAACTAAAATAACAACTTTTTTATATCTAGAATTTTTTTCGTATCTTGCTTTGTTTTTGAGAAAAAACATAAAAATCACTTCATTGCACATCCCTGTGACAACACAATAAAACATTTCAACTACTGAACCATCAAAAACTGGGGTCTTACTAATATTTCTTCATATTAATACTCTATTCTAGTCTTGGAATTTTCTATTAAAATTAATGCAATGAAAAAAGAAGAAATATGTATGTATGAATTGCAGCACTTGCCTTCGGCTCTTGACTTAGGCTCGTCATTTGGATGTGCAATGAAGTGATTTTTATGTTTTTTCTCAAAAACAAAGCAGGATACGAAAAAATTCTAAATATAAAAAAGTTGTAATTTTAGTTGCTCAATGCGAAATAAATACAAAAATTGCAAAAAAATCAGTGGCGCACATTTTTTCTGTCAAAAATATTGGTTACAGTGCCTTCCAGGACGCCACTGAACATGATGATCTTGATATAGTTAGGGTTAAATTAGCCCTTTACGACCTTGAATAACACTGCCAAATTTCAATAAAATCGGTTGAAGGGTTATCAAGATATTTACGAAAAAAACGATTCCTTTTAAAAATTTTGACACCCTGTATCTTGAAAACGAAGCATCACCGGACCTATGTTTATATGAACTTTTCGTCTTAGAATCACTCAAAGAATCACCCCTTCGGGTTTGGCCATGTACTTAAATAACACCCTGTATAATTAAAATTATTCAATATTTTTATTTGTCAATCTGATTTATTTCCATTTCATTTTGTTGACAAGAAACTACTGAATTAATAGTAGATTGTTTTATTAGGATCAAAAGTGACACTTTGTTTGACAAGCGAATTTTGCATTTGCGAGGCGGAGTGTTTAGCGAAGCCGAGCGAAAGCAAAATTTGCGAGTCGAACAAAGTCACTTTTGATCCGAAGGAAACATGCTATTTTTTCTGCAACCGAAACAATTAACTCAAATAAACATGTGAAGTAACCACCAATGTGGTGCCATATGTATGCAATGCAACAAATATTGACGAATAATCCGTGTGGTGAGAATATCCTACCTGCATTAACAGCAGGTTAGGTTTTCAAGCATGTTCGAATTGTAGTTTCAATATGAATACAACCACAGAGTGACATATTTGTGTATGGACCAGGTGCTCTAATGGCAAATAACGCGCCAGTGCCAGCTATATCGCCGCGTCCTAGGTGGGCGAACTATAGGCGAACGCGAAGCGAAGCGGCGCGACGCGATTTTGAGGCGATGCCAAGCGAAGCGGTGCGATGCGGCTGTGCTGTCCTACGTACCGCGCCAATTCGCATTCGCGAATTCGCACCACCGTAAAATGGCCGAACGTACTGCGATCGTGTGTCAACCGCGCGGATATATCAATCCAACTGATCGCACCGCTTCGCCTGTTGCCGCGTGTTCGTCGCTTGCCGCGTGCATTCGCTCACGTAGGCCACTTCAATGTTTTCCTTGGTTTGATAATTTCGTGTCGCGCCGCTTCGCTTCGCATCCGCCTATAGTTCGCCCACCTAGGACGCCGCGTATAGGAACAAGACGTGGAAAATGAGCATAAAAACAATGATAATAGTGATTATTTATTCCTCTCCATATACTACACTGTGTTTGACTTGATAATCAGATGAAGCTAAACGATATCGTTGTTTGAGACAAAAAAACTATTGCTTGCCGTGATTATTCAAAAACAAGTCATCCATCCCGAGAATAACGAATGAAATACAGATCAAGCAAGTATTTGAATCTTGAAGGTTTCCCTGATCAAAACAGAAATACTTAACTGAGATGTTTATAATTCCAATACTCAACTATAATAAGGTGTATTTATATCTCTAGCATGGGTATGAAATGCCAAATCTGCCGAAATCGGAAACAAATCAGGTATGCGTCTCAACCCAAATAACCAACCGTCACAATGTTGTTTATTCTTGATGACGTCCAGTACATCGTTTTTAGTTCCTAGGAGCTAAAGTTCAACTTCAGCTCCTAGGAACTAAAATTCGACTTTAGCTCCTAGGAACTATAGATGTTGCCTAGCAACATACCTATTTTTGTGTCAGTAATAGAAACGTCAATTTAAGAGCTAATTTTGGTATCAAAATGGACGACTTTTGTGTCGGTTGCAGAAAAAAATAATTTTCCGTCTTGACCCCTCGATACCTCCTTGATTGCGACGGGTTGTCTACAGGGTCTTCCTGTGAACCACGACATTTATAGTAGAAGATCCGAACCTAAATTGACCTTCACCGAGCTGATAATAGAACGAAATATATTTTATCATGAATTTAGTATATTAGAAAACATATTAAAAATGGGTTCGCTAAAAAAATCCTGGGCAGACTATTTTTAATTATTTTTCGAAAAATGATTCGGATAATAAAAAAATTTTGACCTGACTGAAAGTATAAAACGTATAGAATGTGCAGCCGTTGGGTTGTCTACTATTTACCTGGGCGAACTACTGGGTTGTCAGGTAAACACAGGTATATCGATGCCAGTTACTTTCACTGGATTGGATAATTGAAAAAAAATTATATCATCATAAGCGCTGTTTAATTGCGAACACGTTGATATAGGGTTGTCTGCGACTCGGTCTGCGAAAATTCCGGTCCTGGGCAGACTATTTTTAATTATTTTTCGAAAAATGATTCGGATAATAAAAAAATTTTGACCTGACTGAAAGTATAAAACGTATAGAATGTGCAGCCGTTGGGTTGTCTACTATTTACCTGGGCGAACTACTGGGTTGTCAGGTAAACACAGGTATATCGATGCCAGTTACTTTCACTGGATTGGATAATTGAAAAAAAATTATATCATCATAAGCGCTGTTTAATTGCGAACACGTTGATATAGGGTTGTCTGCGACTCGGTCTGCGAAAATTCCGGTCCTGGGCAGACTATTTTTAATTATTTTTCGAAAAATGATTCGGATAATAAAAAAATTTTGACCTGACTGAAAGTATAAAACGTATAGAATGTGCAGCCGTTGGGTTGTCTACTATTTACCTGGGCGAACTACTGGGTTGTCAGGTAAACACAGGTATATCGATGCCAGTTACTTTCACTGGATTGGATAATTGAAAAAAAATTATATCATCATAAGCGCTGTTTAATTGCGAACACGTTGATATAGGGTTGTCTGCGAAAATTCCGGTCCTATTAGGGGTTTGCGAATTTTAAAGATTTTAATTTCAACGCGCGTGGAAGTGTGTGACATAGAGATCCGAGGTAAGTATGCTGTGTAATAATAAAGGACCCAACATCGCAGTCGCTTGTGATGGGACCCTGAATAGTAGAAAGTGCGCATGCTCGGTGTGTAAACTATGGAGGGTAGAGGTACCTCTACTACCCTTCATATAGTAAACAGTGCGTGTTATTTAGGAGCAACTGATATTTCAGTAGCAAAAAAAAATAATTTATTAATTACATAATAATTAAATATATTTAATATAATACTAATATATAAAAACAATATAATATCACTATATTGCGTTATAACCGAGTTATAACCATAACCACAGCTAGACCCCCTCGAAATCCTCAAATTCCTGAAGGAATTGAATCTCGAGGGGCTGCTATGAACAAGAAATCCTTGATATAGCAGGAGCAGATGGGGCACAATAGATCTAATTGGGTCGCAGCGCATCTGTCACCATCCAACCTACCAATACCAATACCAAATACCATAATAATATATCTATAATCTATAATAGACAATAAAAATATCAATTATTTACTTGCTCTCTCTGGAAATAGAAACAAAGTGGACCGCCAAAAATTTAAATTAATAAATAACAAAAAAGATAGACTAGACATCTTGTATTACGATTCGAAATTTTATTAAAAAACAGTATAAATACAAAAATAATATTAATGAAAAATAAATTCTAATAAATATTTTCTATTCAATATCTGATTCATCAGAAGTATCATTTTGACTCTCGAATTCGTTTGATTCATTAGATACTTCCTCATTTGCTTCCATTTCGACAATGTCCTGGATTTTCAAAGGAGTTTGATCTCCGATAAAACCTGTTGGTTTTAAGAAATCATCAAAATGCCAACCATAGTTTTCATGATTTGACTTCGCACACTTCGCACACTTTCTACTATTCAGGGTCCCATCACAAGAGACTGCGATGTTGGGTCCTTTATTATTACACAGTATACTTACCTCGGATCTCTCTGTCACACACTTCCACGCGCGTTGAAATTAAAATCTTTAAAATTCGCAAAGCCCTAATAGGACCGGAATTTTCGCAGACAACCCTATATCAACGTGTTCGCAATTAAACAGCGCTTATGATATAAATTTTTTTCAATTATCCAATCCAGTGAAAGTAACTGGCATCGATATACCTGTGTTTACCCGACAACCCAGTAGTTCGCCCAGGTAAATAGTAGACAACCCAACGGCCGCACATTCTATACGTTTCATACTTTCAGTCAGGACAAATTTTTTTTATTATCCTGATGTTGCAACATTTAATTAAAAATCATTTTTCGAAAAATAATTAAAAATAGTCCGCCCAGGATTTTTTTAGCGAACCCATTTTCAATATGTTTTCTGATATACTAAATTCATGATAAAATATATTTCGTTCTATTATCAGCTCGGTGAAGGTCGATTTAGGTTCGGATCTTAGACTATTATGGGTGAAGGAGTATTTGCTCGAGTATTTGCGATCGAGATCGAGGTTGCTAGGTTCGGATCGCCGGAATAGCAGAGAATTTATTTCATACAAGAGTTTCCAGGTGACAGCGAACCCCTTTTATTAAATTCTCCTACCTCCCAAAAAGAATAAGAAAATTGACTATTGAAGAAATTAAAGTTTCCAATTCAATAAAAGGTATTAATCAAAAAGGAATATCATCAGATATAATTATGAACATAAAAAAATTGATATGCAGGGTGTCCCGAAATTAGCCTGCCAAACTAGCTACGGCCCCCCGAAAGAGGGTTCCTGAAGATGATAATTCTTGAATATTATACACTCCTGAATGAAATTTCGAAATGACTTCAAGTTCACCACATTGGGCATGAAGAGTTTAGTTCTTATATCAAGTTGCATCATTTTATCACGTGGCGTTTCGGAAATATTCAAGAAATATCATCTTCAGGAACCCCCTTTCGAGGGGCCGTAGCTTCCTTAGGCGACATTTCTCGACTCTTGTTCATTGACACTTTTCTTCCTATTATTGATCGAAGAAGCCGCTGGTGAAGTTGGGACAACTTGTATATACAGGGTGTTACTTGAAGACATGCTAATATTCAAATTTTGAGATAAAAACTTTCCACAAACGTATGTCTTGATAGTCTTAACTTTTGAGATACAGGGCGATAAAGTTTTGAGAAAAAACAGTTTTTTAATGATAACTGAGATAATATTGTAGACACCTTTACCAAATTTGGTACATGTCTTCTATGCATCAAGATGCATTTTCTGTTGTACACAAATTTTCATTTTCCCTACCAGTGGCGACATTTGGGGAATTTTTTTATCGCTTGGAGCGCACGAAAGGGAATCCCTATAATGTTCGAAGAACATCGTGCGTTCCTAGGGAGGATAGGGATGATAGGAGGTAGGTAGTGGAATTTATTGTTTAATTTATTGGGATATTATTGTTTATATTCTACTCAAAAGTGATTGACGAAGGAAAATTTCTAAATTTCATACAATCCTATGAAAGGCCATTCAAATCTGTACAGAAAAGATTCTCCTGTTGATACTCGATAGAACGATCCGTTCTCGAGAAAAAACTGAAAAACGAGACCAGACTTCAAATTTTGATGTAAATTCCAAGCTGCAGAGTACTCCATTCAGGACATCAATTACTAGATAACCACAGCATGAAACATTTTGAAATTTTTGCACCATGTCAGTCACATAGCAGACTGATTTTTTTTTTCGCGAAAAGCTTCACAGGGTAGACAAAAACATAATCTATGCATATATACTACTTTGATACCCTGTATCTAAAAATTACGACGTTTACGACATACGTCCATATGAGGTATTATTCTTGAATATAAGCATGTCATTCAGGAACACCCTGTATATAAGCAAATAAGTTACTCATCAGTCCATTGTGAATTATTTGTTTTGTGTTATTTCGATGAAATTGTCAAATTGCTGAAGGTGCCAATTTTTATATTTCAGAAAATTTATGATTTTCTTTCTCATTCAGATGTATTTCATGAATGTACATGCAACATCTACTATTATACTGAATTTTGTTTAAAAAATTTCCAAAATAATATATATTTTTTTGAAGTACTGCTGCAATACTTCTGTATATTATCATGTAGTTACAGGAATGACGCTCATGATTCAGGTTGAAGATATTTCATTGCACTTGACAGACTTGTTGTGTGGAACAAGCTGATTTATTACCTTCTTAGCTACTGCCAGGACCTTTGCAGCAATATCTATTCCAGATGGTCCGACTCCTACTACTAATACTGTTTTATTCTTGTATGGATCTGTGTTTCTATAATCGTGACTATGTATTATGCTTCCAGCAAATTCATTTTCTCCAGGTAGTTTCGGAACTATTGGATCTGAATAGTTTCCAACGCAAATTATGATACTATCGAAATCTTTCGTTTCCACTTTTTTCGTTCTGAGATTTTTCACTTGTACCGACCACTTTCCCCCATGTATTGGACTGACAGCCTCTAAATGATGATATAACTACAAACACAAATCATCCAATAAATAAATTATCAATTATGTAAGTAGGGATTCATTAAAAATTCATGATAGGATCACCTTGATATGTGTTGATAGATTGAAGAATTCTGCATAAGCTTCGATATATTCATAAACTTCTTGGAAGGAAATATAGGAGCGAGTTAGTTCTTTTTTATAAGGAAAGTCCTCGAACATCATTAGTTCCTTTGGTAAGTTGGTCCTGGAATACAATCTGTTGTTTTGCTTTGACATTTATACACGCGATTCACAGGCTAAGATTTCCTTACGGCTCACTCTCCATATAGCACCAGTACGTCCCCAAAACGTACTGAGTACGTCCAGCTAAGACGTTTCGTGGACGTCCAGATTAGGAACGTAGACGTAATAGGTACGTACTGGGGATGTCCAGATACTGAGAATTTTTACAACCACAGTGTACGTCCATTCAGGATCATGAATTCCTGAATCAACGTGATTTCGTCTTTTCCTAGTCAGATAGTTAAAAAGGAGATCAGGACAGAGTAGAAGAGATCTTATTTCGAATAAAAAATTCAAAAAAATGCGCTCCTACTGGGGATCAATCCCAGGACCTTTAGATGCTCTACCTATTACTTTACAGAACAATCAACAATGTATCAGTATACAGTGTGTCCATTTAGTGCGTAATTCTTCGATATCTCGAAAGCCATAACCTATGGAGAAAAACTTTGGAGAAAAAACTTTTTCAGTTACTAAAGTTGCTTATTTCAAAATCATTTTCAACATTTTATAAAAGCAGGGCAGCTCGAAGAAGAGTTTTTTTATATGGAACACCCAGTATTGCTCATTCGGAATTAATTCCGCCGAGGTTCACCTTCACATCGCTGTGAAAAAAATTCAAATCGGTTGCGGGGTTGCCAAGTTATAATTGATAAATCTATTTTTACCATTATTGTAGAGTCATGTTGAATTGGGCATGGTATAATCATTTATCCAAATTTTGAAAATATTTTTGGCATACGGTAGAAGCAAGGTCCCACGTATAACAATCCAGTAATTTTGCGACATGTTCTTCAACAGGGTGCTCAATTTTGCATTTAGAATTTTGCAAGATTCAGATGACATTCATCAGAATTTTTCAAATGGAACACCATGTATTTTTGTTCAGAAATTCATTCCGACATCTTTCGTCCTTTTATCGCTGAAAAAAAAAATCGGAATCGGTTGGGGCGTTGTCAAGTTATGGATAATTTCCTTATTTTCACTACTATTTCAGGGTAATTTGTACGTCATAGTCCTTTCATTTACTTATTTGTATTGTGGAAATATTGCGTTGCCACAGTATAATCAAATTTGTTCATTGACCATTCATATATTTTTTTACAAAAGAAACATTTACAGGCTCTCCAAGTTTGAAGTTTTTTCGAAATATTTGTGTAATGACCTGTCAAACATCGCCACAATCAAATATATCTTGGATTGATTCGACATTTTGCTGAATTCCCTCCCAAAAGCCGCGTAGTAGAGACATATTGTTTGTATCATTATGTTTACCTTCTTCAAGTTAAATGAAGATTTGGATTGTGGGAATAACGACAATAAAATTGTCCTAATTTTCGCATTCCGCATCTTCATTGTTTGTATTGTAGAAGTTGTTTCAAAGACAGGCGTTGGTTTTGGCATGTTCCACATATTATTTGAATCATAAGTAACAAGATTACGGAATATTTCAAATTTGGACGATGCACATATCACAAAAATACCTGAATAATCTATGTAAAACCTCGAATGTCATGTGGCAAGCAATATTCCCACACTCAAATCAAATTGAGGAACTATCATGACGTACAAATTACCCCGAAATAGTAGTAAAAATAAGGAAATTACTCATAACTTGAAAACGCCGCAACCGATATTAATTTTTTCTTCTGCGATGAAAAGGCGAATGATGTAGAAATAAATCTGTGATGAAAAATACAGGGTGTTCCATTTGAAAAATTCTCATGATCGTCGTCTGAATCTTACAATATTCAGAATGTAAATGTTAGCACCCTGTAGAGGATTATCTCGCAAGATTACTGGATTGGTATACGTGAGACCTTGCTACTACTGTATGCCAAGAATATTTTCGAAATTTCAATAAATAAATATACCATACCCAATTGAACATGACCCTTCAATAGTAGTAAAAATGGGTTTATCAATTTAAACTTGGCAACGCCGCAACTAAATTCAATTTTTTTTACAGCGAAGAAATGAAATATTCTGTTCATTCTACATCAAGTTAAATTTTCGCCTCTACATGGCGATCATTTTGCCTCGTCAATGCCTGCCTCGAATTCATTATTACGTGAAGCCTGATTCTTCGTGTTTGAAATATCAGCTGGATAAATCGAACTTAGGATGATTAGCAATCTGAAATAGTTTTGCATCAGTTGAAGAGAAGTAAAGACTGGAGATATTTGCTAGAAATCGACTAGTTTCCTAGATTAGTTCATTCTATTGATGTGAAATTTCAGAAAATTCCCGAATTGATACTGAATTTGGTTCAACAAAACAATTTGTCAAATGGAAATACAGTTCCTCTTGAATCAACGAAATATTTCATCGAATCAACAAAATATTTCATTGAATTATCCAAATATTTCATTGAATCAACCAAATGATTCATTGAATCAACCAAATATTTCTTTGAATCAACCTAATATTTCATTGTATCAACTAAATATTTGATTGAATCAATATATCGTTATTTCGAATCAAACAAAATGATTGCTTGAGCCTATTAAATATCTCTTCATGAACAATTCATGGATGTGCTTGATTGAATAAGATTCAGAGTTCATGCAAGACATATTCACCTAATGAAACTTCAAATTCGCTCTGAAACAAGATCTAGATGTACTCATTTCAAATTTATTTTCTGTCGTGCATATATAACACTTTCATTTGCTTCATCAAATTAAATTTTGCTTGATTCAACAATTCCTTTTCATCCGTGTAGAAGTTTTTTCATTAGGTACGGCCAGTAAAAAATGAATTGTGAGAATTGTATTATTTTCATGTTGGCGAGGTTCATACATGAATAGATATCAGAGATCGAGTTTAGAAATTATATGCAATGATTGCATTTATAATTATACAATTTATTCAATCCCGTCCACAGAAAGTCGATATAACGTCCAGAGTTAGACGTACGTACGTCTAGAAATGGACGTTTTCACTACGTCTAAAAAAGGTCCCGGACGTTCAGACCTAAATCGAATGTGGGTCTTTTTCAGAGATAGAGATTTACGGTGTTTGCAAACGCGAAATTTTTGTTGTGAAACTCACGTTACTGTAAAGAAAATGTTCATAACCCGCCTCGTTTTTTGTGATTTGAGATACATGGTGAAATCTAAAATGTTGCATTTTGGGACACCCCTGTATCTCAGCTATCTTTCTACTTATAGAGAGAGTGGAAACTGCATCTTAAACATTGTTTTACGTAGAATCCAATGGCGTAGTCATATGTTCGAAATGGACGCTTGCTCCCTCCTCCTGGTCCAAGGAAACATTTATATGTATATATTCGTGATCGAAATTTATTTGATATACCGGGTGTCCCATTTTAATCTTTATTTGGAAATTTCTAGAAATATATGCATCTGACAAAATAAATTGACGAATAAGAGTTGTATGGTTTGGAGGGGGACGTCTGGTTATGAAACAAGTTTCACCCCCTGACCCCCAGGGGAGTGGGAATGGAGGTAACATTGAAATCTTTATTGGAAACCCCTCTTTTTATTGCTGATTCTGGAAGAGCATTAAAAACTATGAAGCTTTTATTCGGAAACTTCTTTTTTATTTTCACAAGATGGCGCTGCGATCTTGAAAAACTATATTTCACTATTTACACATTTCAACCCCCTGAAGACGAGGAAGAGTGTAGGGTGTGATATTTTCCCAGACAAACGCCATTGGGGTGATATCCACACGACAAATTAACGCTAAACGAACTTACTCACCTACATAGAAAAGAGAAAAATACGCATGGTTCAGCAATTAAGGTATCATTTAGGTCAGACTAAAGCTGGTTTTAAGTGAGATTGACTACTTTATCAAGTGTTCGAAATGATCTCCATTTTCTTGAATACACAAGTTCAATCGTTTTTCAAAATTCCGCACTGTCGCTTCCAACATAGCAGGCGTCAAAGCCATGCACGCTCCTCTAATTCTATCTTTCATATTCTCACGTGTGGTTGGGGGTTCGCGAAACACAATGTTTTTGATGTAACCCACAGAAAGAAGTCTGGGGAAGTCAAGTCGGGTGATCTGGGTGGCCAACTACAAACTAAATAGTAAAATATTGTTTTTCAAGATCGCAGCGCCATCTTGTGAAAATAAAAAAGAAGTTCCTGAATAAAAGCTTCATAGTTTTTAATGCTCTTTCAGAATCAGCAATAAAAAATAGGGGTTTCCAATAAAGATTTCAATGTTACCTCCATTTCCCACTCCCCTGGGGGTCAGGAGGTGAAACTTGTTTTATAACCAGACGTCCCCCTCCAAACCATACAACTTTTATTCGGCAATTTTTTTTGTCAGATGCATACATTTCGAGAAATTTCCAAATAAAGATTAAAATGGGACACCCGGTATATGCCCATTCATTTCAAATTGTATGTGCATTGCAAGTTGAAATAACCTGCTCCCTATGATACAATTGAAGCTTTGGATGAAGGCAGAATCAACTTTATTTTCTTTGAAAGTCTTCAAACCTTATGGATTGCTTGAAGAATTTAATTTTTTCCGAGAAAATGGAGTAGGTATAGTTGTTCTGATGAACTTTCAACTGCTCTTTTTATAGTTACATACATGTTTGGTTCAAAGAAGAACATATTATTTTCCACTATTTGATTCATGTTCAAAATAAAATCTATGTTTTTTCAATGTATAATATTAATTAGGTTAAACACACGGGAAATATAATCAAGTGATGAATTCGAGTAAATAGTTGCAAGTCACTCTTTCCTATAGGTAGGTAATTAATTCTGAGCTATCATGACATCCTTAGCGTGACCTAAAATAGTTTTTCAATTCATAAACAGTTCAGTGCTCATTTCTTTGGTCACTCTTCACATCCTCAACAATACAGGAATGTCCTAAGTACGTCCCTTTTTTGTCCCGCAGTACAAGTACATCATTGGGGCATCCAGGGGATGTCCTGCAGTGGTTGTCCAGTGGAAATCCCGCCCGGTACATCCCTAGGTTTTCCTATCCGTGTCCCTGGAATATCTGATATCCATTCACATCAGATCGAGTCATTGAATTTCATCAAAATATTGAGTTGAATTTTTCTGAATATGTTCATTTTTCTTCCGGAAGATGATTGTAATGAAAATGAAGCAAATAGTCTCAGTACTTCTCGAGAAATGACGATTTTTCGCAAACAGAAATCGTAAGTGCATAATGCCCCTAATTTTTTAACACCCAAGAATGATAATAATCATACATGAAATCCTAACAAAGTAGTAAATATTCAGCTTTCAGCTTTGTACTGTTTATAAATCTGTTCAGTACATAAATGTTCAGAAGGCATATTACCCAATGGGGTAAGGTGCGTGCCTGATAAGCTAAAGGTCCCGGGTTCTATCCCTACTGACCTACATTTGTTCCTCATTTTGTCGAAGGGATGTCCCTGGAATATCCTTGGGACGTCCTAGGGATATCCTTTCTTCGTAATTGGTATATCCCAGGGACGTACCAGAAGGATATCCCTTGGATGTCCCTTTTGTCGGAAATTGGATGTCCCTAGCATGTACTTTTTCCCGACAACAGATATCCCTGAGATGTCCTAGTATAAGGGAAGTCCCGAGGATTTCCTTGTGTTGTTAGGGATTGTTTCGTGTCAATGTGTCAAAAATGTGGGAAATAAAACAAAACACCGGTTTTCCTCACCACTCACCTAAGATCTTCATACATAGATGTATGAATGGGCAATCCGAATTCATCGAGACCAACTTTATCGACATACTTCCATACCCCTCCTATGAAGCCAGTTTGTTCGAAAAGCTCACAATCATGGCCTTCGTCTAAACTGTGCTTCAAAGCTGCTAAACCTGCTGCACCCGCACCAACGATACAAATTTTCATCTTGCACAAATTACCAAAGAAAACTTCTTAAGGTTTAGCTCTTGCAGTTGTATCTCGTTTAATATGTATCTTATGTTTTATAGTGTTTTTGTCGAATCATTTATCGATTGTAAATTGTCTTGGAGAATATTTATATATCCTGATGATAACGATAATTTTAATCTGGCTGTTACATCAGTATCAGCTAATTTCTCAATAGTTTTAATGCATGGTCATTCGAATAATTATAGCAGTGGCGTATCGTTCATGGAAACTATAAAGGAGCCCGCAGCTTCACTTGCCCTGAAATCATGATCTTTATTTATATCATCATCTAGATCATTATGTAGATCATCATCTAGATCATTATTATCTAGATCATTATCCGGATCATAATCTGTATCATGATCTAAATCAATATGTAGATCATTATATACAAGGTGACATAGAAAAAAGAACATTGCATATAGTGCCACAACATTAGAGGACACTAGAATAAGAAAAAAGTTTTCATGAACACGGGCCCACAAGGCCTCCGGTTGAAAGATACGGTGTGTTGAATTATAATTTTTTTTCTGTGACGGGAAAAAAGTTTTGCATTTCATTCCTGTTGGCAGGTTATAAAATGTCACTTTTCATAAATTACTTTTTTCCCGTGGGAAAAAAGTGAGTACTTTTTTCCCGGATATATATATCACATATATATATACACTGTTGATGGCTTTTGTTGTGCTATAGTTCCGAAAAATGAGTCAATAATACCGTCTCCGAGAAAGAACTGCAAGTCCTTTTATCTTCCATCCGACTTCGCGGTTACGTATATTAACTAAACAACCACTGAATTCGCAATTTTTTGAAATCAAATCACAGAATTAGACTGACAGAAGTGACATCAGATATTTGATCACTTTAAATGAATGATAAAGATGCCTACAACGCGGTGTCCCTACTGTTGAAACTTAAAGTTTCATGTCGATAATTTTCAGATTCCAAAATGATGTAATATCTTCTCAATATTGATTCGTCCTTCCTTCTGTCACAGAAAAAAATAGTGTATTATACACGGGAAAAATATTAGATTTTAGCTCATGGTTTGTTGTCTCCCTCCGCTACGCGTCGGGAGACAACACAACCTGGAGCTAAAATCTACTACTTTTTTCCCTTGTATAATAAATAACTTTTTTTGCTGTTTTGAATATCTTTAGCCATCAGAGACGCAAGAAATGGATAAAATGTGGCATACATAGGGGTTTTTCGCCATGCTGAATTCAAAAATGATAATTATTTTTCCAAGTAAATAAAAAAAATTAAAATTCAACACTTCATATCGAAGGTTTTGCGGACCCGTGTTCATGGAAACTCTTTTTATTATTTTATTGTCCTCTATTGTGTGGCACTATGATATGTACTTTTTTCTGGGTCACTCAGTAGATCATTATCTAGAATTGGGAGTTACAACTTGCCCCATCCACAGCTTTGCAGATGATAGTACCCTCCATACTGCGTTCTCTTCCAGAATTCCCATTTCTTCCCAGGAAACTAAGAACTCACGGCGCAGGCAGGCAAATGCTGTTAATGAAGATCTTGCTGAAATCACAGCCTGGGGAACGAACAACCTAGTTGAATTCAACGCCACCAAAACTCAAGCCTGCATTTTCTCTAGAAAGGCGGAACTCAGTATGCCCGATATTGTAATGTCTGGCTCCACCATCCCCACCAAGCCCACCATATCTATGCTCGGTATTTCCATCAGCAACACTCTTTCATGGGATAATCATGTCAGATCCATCGCAAAAGCTGCTTCACAAAAACTCGGATTCTTGTTCCGTGCGAAAAGCTACTTTACACCTCAACAGCTTCTCATGATCTACAAAGCGCAGATACGGCCTGTTCTAGAATACTGTTCCCACATATGGGGTTCAGCACCAAAACATACGCTGATGCTCTTAGATTCCATCCAGAGAAGAGCCATTCGCCTGGTGGGTGACGCCACACTCACTCACTCTTTGACATCATTGGAACACCGTAGAAAGGTCGGCGACCTTTCACTTTTCTATCGATACTTCCACGGGAAATGTTCTTCGGAAATCTCTGCAATCATCCCTTCACTAGCAATACCAATCAGACGAACTAGACAAGCCCAGTCAGCACATCCTTTCGTTGTCAACCTGGAAAGATGTCGAACAGCACTTTATCAAGACTCCTTCATCCATAGAATGGCTAGGCTCTGGAATTCATTGCCTGTGGAAGTATTCCCAACAACATATAATCTCCAAAAATTCAAAAAAAATTCCAATACCTACCTCCTGTCCCTATCCTCCCTAGGAAAGCACGATGTTCTTTGAACATTATAGGGATTCCCTTTCGTGCGCTCCAATCGATAAAAAAAAAAAAAAAAAAATCTAGATCATTATAGTGGACGCGCTTATATTCAGTGGGTATACCCTGGACTCTGGGGTTAGGTTAGGTTAGGACTCCTATACTATCAAATGGGAGATTAGATGTTCATGAATGTTCATGAAAGGATTTCAACCACCTCGACGAAAAAAAAGCAACGGTCAGTTTCAATTCATTTCATATAATATATTATTGTTCACTCAAATGAAATGTTATTCAGAAAACTTCTGAAGGATTTACTAAGTTGTATACAGGGTGTATCTGAATGACACCGAAAACATTCAAGGGGTGATTCTTAGTGATATTTTAGGAAATAAAGTAAATTTGTTTCCTAACTTGCTCCGTTTTCGAGATACAGGGTATCAATATTTCCATCAAACATCTTTTTTCTATTAATTTCTCGATTGTCTTTTCATCAATTTGAATATAATGTTGTGGTTTTATTAATAGTGATATGGAGCTCCATCTAGTGCAATTAGATTCGAAATAATATCTCCAGTAGCGTCACAGTGGGTAAATTCATCGATATTCATGGTGAATGTCATATTATAGTACATTGTACACCACTGGTTCTTCTGAACTTCATATTCTTATTAGATTAAACTATTGACATAACAACTTTTTCATTCCTTGTGTGATGTATCTAAATAGTATAAAATTTCGATTTGACTCCAAATTTTATTGTATATGTGTTTTCAATACTTCCATTGAGATTACTCAATAACTCCAATTGGAATCATTATGAAACTTTGGGGCTTTCTCACTCTCCATCCATACTGAATTTGGGCACCATGAAAGCTTATACAGGGGGGTTATAAATAAAAACAATTATTACTCCCAACTTCAACATCTTGAATCTCAAGAACGTTGCAGTTAGGACACATGTTTATATGAACTTTATCATTATGTAGATCATTATCTGGATCATTATCAAGATCATTATCTTGATCATTATCTAGATCATTATCTAGATCATTATCTAGATCATCATCTAGATCATTATCTAGATCTTCATTCAGATGATTATCTTGAACATTATCTAGAACATTATCTAGAACAGTATCTAGATCATTATCTATATCATTATCAAGATTATTTTGTGGTAAGCCATGCTCCCCTTTGAACCCTGCCCTTCCCACCTCTTTCAGCAAATGAACATTTCGCTTGTAGAATTTTTCAATAATTTCTTATCATAACAATGCTACCAGCTACCAGATTCAATGTACCACATAGGCAATATTTACTTTAATATCCTTGATTATTTTCATTGTTTATTTATAATTTGTTATTATTCCGATTGGAGTCGAATTATCTGCGTTCATTTCAAGAAAAAACTTGATGGTCAATAAAAAGTGCATATCAATATTATATTGAATTGTTCTATTTTGCTGTACACAGGGTGTCCAAAAAAATTCTCAGTACAATGTCGTTCAGTTTGGGCGCTAGACCGCTCTGAGGTAAGTACTTGCGAAAAAGAACCAATCAAAATAGCTGCCAGTACATTTCATAGTTTTCTGCGTCATATACACAATACCATGATCCATGACCAAATGATCCATCCTATGAAGAGCTCTTCGAATTCTTGTCTCTGAAGCTTGATCAAATTCAACAGAACCATCCAGCAGCAGAAATCATCATCATAGGCGATTTCACTGTACAAAACACTGCTTGGCTCGTACACTCTAACAGAACGGATGAAGCTGGACGACAAGCCGAAGCTTTCGCCATCACTCACGGCTTAGAGCAGCTTATCAAAGAACCCACACGAATTCCCAATGCCAATAACCATTCAGCTAACATACTTGACTTATTCCTCACTAATAATTCAGCACCCTACACCATAGATGTACGAGCCCAACTTGGCAATTCTGACCACACACTCATCTCCACAACCTGCTGTTTCATTCCATCAACTGCTCCGGCACCCCCATGTCTTATATGGAATTACAATTCAGGGGATTGGGACGGTCTCCGCATGTTTTTCTCCGAGTTTCCTTGGCATAGAGTATGCTTTGACTCTGAGGACCCTTCACAGCGTGTGCTGCGGAAATATCCGAGATCATCATGCTCGGAATTGGACACATACATAACTCATTCTTAGAGAAGATCATCACCATCGAAACCCTGGTTCAACAAGAACTGTTGCCTTGAAAGAAACAGCCTACCATCGCATATCATTAGTACCTATATGTAAATTTACTACTCGTTTTTGAAATTAATTCATACAGAGCGTGCCGAAATATCATGCAATTTATTATTTTCTGTGATTCACTGAGGATTAATAATGATATATAGGTAATTATAATAATAAATGAGTGTCAACTGCAGCGGACAAAAAGTGTTTGAGGACGAGAAGTTAGTGTCTGCGGATGAAAATTACATACCTCCGAAAATAGTCGGATTTTCGTTCGGAAATTAGGACGTAAAATGGAATTTTCTGTAGAGGTCGACGAAAAACTAGATTTTCGAAAATAAAAATCGACATTAACGAATGCATGCTGAATGCAAAATAAGAAGAAAAGTTTTCATGAATATATTTCCGAAAGTTAATCGTTTCTGAGATACAGAGTGTCAAAGTTGAATTTTTATTTATTTTTTTTCGTTGATATATAAATTTCAAAATA